AAATCTATAGCTTGCCACGTGGCTGGTGGCTTACCGGCTTCTTTACATGCTCTTCTCCTGGCGGTGGCTGCAGTGTCTCTCTCCTCAGCCTTCCGCTTCCCAGAATTCTCCTCTCTCCTTGTCCCACCTACTTCCTGCCTCGTCACTGGCCACCAGTGTTTTATTTATATAGAACAATATCCACAGCACCCCACCGGCAGCCTACTTCCTCCAACCAGGCCCCACTTCCTAGTTTCCAGCAACCTCCAATAATGTCATCTGATAATGAGTCTGTCAGTGGCTTGAGCCATTGATTAGGTCAGAACCCTCATGCTTCAGTCACCTCTCACTGATTGGATCCCTCAGCTGTGGGCCGAGCCTTCCACGCGTGAGCCTTTTTAGTACATGTGCTGTGGAAGTAAGCACCACACATGAGCCTTTTGAGGAGATGCATCGTATCGTATCCAAGCTGTAATAAGAAGCTAATAGGTGACCCAGGAGCTCGGGAAGAGTTACCAAACCCTAGTGAACCCCCTCCCCAGAGTCAGCAGTCTAGGTACGATCTCTGTTCCTTGTCCCCTAAAAACTAACAGAGTCTGGCATCATCGCTAGGAAGAGGCCCATTTGCCCCAAGCCTCAGGGGTGGAGAGGGAAGTCACCCGTGAGGGCGGGTGAGTCTGCAGAGTGATAAAGCAGCCTGCAGGAGGTGATGGTTGCCATTGGCCTGAAATCCCAGAGGCACCTAAGGAAACATGGTCAGGAGCAAGGCAGGAGCTCAGCTTGGGAACCACGTGACTCCAAGACTGTTCCCAGGGGTGTCCAGCCTGTGACACTTTTAACAAGAGGGCCCACTGAATTGTTTCCAGAGCCTAAGAGTAGGACAATAGCTCCTGTCAGTAGAGACTTCCCTCCAGGCCTGGTAAGAAAGAGCAGATCCCCAGACATGGAGTCTGCAGTGCCCACCAGCATGTGCATCTGCCCTAGGGGTTCAGCTTCGTCAGGAGGCCCTTCCCTCAGGCTGCCTGACACACTTAGAGGCACCCGGTGCTCCCTGGAGCCTGGAAGTAGCATCAGGGTGGTGGTCTTCCTCTGCCCCCTGGCAAGAGGACCCGAGAGCCCCATGAACTGAGACAGTCCTTGGTCAAGCTAACCATGCTAACTGTTCTGCTTCCTGAGCACACTCCTGCCCCTCAGAGTTCACACACTGGAAGCCTGCATACCTGTTTTACTTCCTGGTGGGATTGTTGTTGTTGTTGTTGTTGTTGTTAAAGACAATTTTATACAAAAAAAAATTGAGATTACCTGGGGAGAGGAAATCAGTATGTGTGGCAACACTGGTGTGCTATTCTCATATGAAACCAGTCAGCAGGAGCAGGGCAGGAGGCCCCCTCAGGTGAGCCAGGCACTCGCCAATGTCCCTACGCTGACGGATGACCCATTCATTGATGCTGGCACCCTGGCCATGTAAATGCCATTCTCCCCAAAGGTTACCTTCACTGCCATGCTTCTTTTCTGCCCCGGTCATGTCTGAGCATCCCTGATGCCCACGCTCCTAGCTTAACGGAAGTTTGTCTCCCGTTCTCTAGCTGTCTTCCCTGTTGGGCCACAGCCTTCTGAGGGTAGGAATATCAATGTCCTTCTGGGAGGCTGACAGGCTTCCGGTGAGCCCACATTCAATTAGCTCCCCTTTTTGTCTTGACTCCAGCCCTCCATGCAGTCATAAGGGTTTTCTGATTCTGGGAGATTTCCTGAAAAGAAGGAAATGCCATGCTGAGGCTTGAGGGGCATGGAACACATGAGGCCATGTTGCCTGAATCTCCTGCCCTTTGAGATGAGAATTTCAGAAGCCCACATCCAGTTTGGAGTTTTGATTGGTTGGGTTTTGGTTTTTTTT